ATATTTGAGATCTAGGGAGATTGACAGATATTTTATCAAGTATGTGCACTTCATGGTTGGATGCAACTAATTTTCCTGCCAGTGTGTTAACAGTGAGGTTCACAATACCCTTTGTGAGAGTTGGAGATTGAGAAAGACCAACTACTTGTAAGTTGGATTTGAAACGAGGTGCATTCAGTAGTTGAGCAGCTTTTTCACTAATAAAATCACACATGCTGCCACTATCAATCAATGCTCTGAACACATGAGAAACGTTATTTTGAGCAGTAACTTTAACCAGTGTTGTGCCTAAAATTACAGTTTTAGGGATTTGATTAGCAGGACTGGCTTCCTGTGAGCAAAGAGATACGGTAGGTTTTTCATTCGAAACATGAGTGGTTGATGGTTGTGATGATGTAGAACCTTGAGATGTCTTGTCATGTTCAAAATGAAGTAAGGTGTGATGACGTTTGTGGCATTTGAAGCAAGATGCTTTAGACTTACATGTTTTAACATCATGTTTTCCGAGGCAAGAGACACATCTGTTGTTGTCCTTTACGGTTTTAAAACGTTCATTTGAAGAAAGAGAGAGAAAGCTAGGACAAGCATAAACCTTGTGGCCAGTTGATGAGCAGACAAAGCAGGGAAATGAGAAAGGATTTTTTGAGTTGTCTTGATTTGATGGAGTTGGAGTAGAGACCATTGTAACTTTCTGAGCTTGAATGAAAGAGGGCTTGGAGGATGTGAAAGATTTGGGTTTAAAATTTGAATAGTGGTTGTTCGTACTTTGAGCAAACTTGGTATGTAACACAGCGTCTTCCATTTGGTTACACTCTTGATTAAGAAACTTGACTATTTCGACTACTTCTGGTAGAGAATGTGTTTCGCATTTTATATTAATTCTAAAAGCCTCTAGTTGTTTTAGAAGGTCATTGTCTAGTTTTCGTAAGAGTATGGTGGACAACAGAGGGTTAGAGTTAGAAGTAATGTCACAGTCAAGAGCTTTAAGTGCTTCTGTGTGTTCATAAAACAAGTTGAGGAACGTTCTGAGACATTTGTTTGAGGTAGAGGAAATGTCCGGTAGGTCGATCAGTTTGTTTAGGTGAAGTGTAGTTAACCTTCGGGTGTTGTGGTATCTGTCTCTGAGGAGCTGATAGGCAATTGAGTAATTGGCTGAAGTGATACTGAAAGCTTTTACGAGATTTAGTGGTTCATTTTTGAGCACGCTGAGAAGATATTGAAATTTAGTGACGTTTGAAATGCTTTCATTCAGATGGATGCTAGTGTCAAATAAGTTGATGAAACTTACCCACTGTAGAGGAGAACCATCAAACGTGATGAGGTCTAGTTTTGGGAGTCTTACGTGAGCAGATGATGAAGCTGAGATGTCACTAATTCTTGTTGAATCTTTACTTTCTTCTGGAACATCTTGCGGCTGCTGTTGGAGAAGGGCTTCAATCCGAGACTTGGCTTCGACGAATAGCAGTCGCAGTTTGTCTTCAGTGTCACTTACTGCATCCAAATCTAATTCTTCTGATATATGTTCCAAGGCTCTTTCCAGGTAATTTTCATAGGCTTCATGTTTCTTTTCTAACTGGTTCGAGAAGTTGTTTAAAGTTCTGATTTGTATCACTGACAAGATTGAGGGGGAAAGTGTTTCAAGCTCTTGTACAGATTTGAGAATCTTTTCAAAAGAATTTTGTATGAGAAGGGTTGATTTGTTGAAGTTTGAGAGTGAAATTGATCTGGTAGCCATATTGGACAAAACAAATGGAGTGAAACTTTACTAAGAATTAGATAGAGTTTGTGACACTATGAGAGTGGGGAGAAACATAAAGAGATTGAATGATAAAATAAAGATATTTCGATAGCTTGAAAGTGTTCTGAAAATTGAATCCAAAGACTGAAATTCAAAATCCAGGCTCGATTAGGACCAATGAATATTTTGTAGAGAATGAAATTAAATGGAGATTATAAGATGAGAAAAAAATGAACACACTTTTGGGATAGGAGAACAAGCACTGTTTTATTTACTTTTTGATACACAACATGTGTTAGCAATAGAGAATAATTTAATTTGATTAAGAACACATGTTAGTTGCAAGGAAAAGAGATGTACATTAAATAAAACATAGAGTGTTAAATAATATGAATGGTTAAAGTTTACTGAACAATGTTAAAGTTTACTGAACAGCCATTTTGTTATATGAATATGAAAATTGTCATTATTTTTGGAGCTTTGTCTAGTTGTCATTAATGTTTGTGCAAAGTTTCAATTTCATATCCTTAACCACTTTTAGAAAAAAATTAACAAGTGAAAAAACAAAATTGCGGTTTTGTGAGTAATTAAGGACTTCCGGATAATTTAAATATAATATTTAGATATGTTTCTTACTCAGGAAAGTGCCCTACAATATTTGTAGTGAGTTCTGGGACACCCTGTATAGGGAGTTATAATTCTAAAAATTGTCTCATAGCTCTCCATAAAATAACATATAAACTTGTTCATATATCTCCAGTTTGAATGAAGCCAAAGACTTCGTTTTGGTCTTGAAATAACTGTTAAATTACGGGTTTTCATATGAGACTTCAATCATTCAAATCAAACAAGTTTAAGGCAATTCATAAGCCTCCAATGAAGGAAAATTTGAATTTTTCCAAAATTTGACTACAGTTAAAGATTAGTATCTCTAGTTATAGTTGTGATACGTCATATGTTTTAGTCTAAAGACATTTGGTGAAATACCGGCTTTCATTTAAGCTATTAGTAATTCAAATCGGGCGAGTTTCAAGCAAATTTAAGGTGAAAAACCAAAATAAAATGTATCTTTTATAAGGTCTTTCGATGATTAAAAATCAAAAGCTCCAGTAGGCCTATTGTTCATGCTTTTTACTTTCTCCCCCTATACCATAGTATATGAAGAAAGTATTGTTTTCGTCAAAATTTTCTAGTTTGAGTTTTGGGTGGATATATTCGTTTTCCCCTGGACCCAAAAAAGTGGTTTTCAAAGTGATGTCTGTGTGTGTGTGTATAGTATAGTAGTTTTCAATCAATAGTCAATAGTAGTTTTCGGCTAACATCCTTGTTCATTGTTCATAGGTTGATAACAATAGTAATTTTTTTTCATCTCTTTGTTTTTCTATTTGGTGGCGTTCTATGAATTTGCTATGTTTCCATGGTTAACAAATCGGTTCTTTCAATGATTTCTCAAAAAATACAGTACTACTAAGTCAATTCATTTTTCTTATTTTGTAAAATGGATCAAATTGTCCAGGCTTTCTCGATTTTTACTTTCTCCCCCTATACCATAGTACCTATATGGAGAAAGTATTGTTTTCATCAAAATTTTCGAGTTTGAGTTTTGAGTGGATATATTCGTTTTCCCCTGGACCCAAAAAAAAATGTAAAAAAAATGTTTGTAGTGAGTCAATGGCTCAGTCGGTAGCGTCGCGGACTTCGGGCCCAAGGCAGCGATGTCGTGGGTTCGGATCCTGGTCACTGCCGATAACATTTTATCAGTACAGTTCACCTTTGTACTGTACCGGCTCACTCCTTGCTTTGCTGTAAACGATCCACGCACGGGCGCTTAGTCTATGTGGACGAGCAAATGCAAGGTTAAAAGAGGCCGCCAACCTCTTTTTTTTAAAAAAAAAGTGGTTTTCGAAGTGATGTCTGTGTGTGTGTGTGTGTGTGGATGTGTACAGAGCTACAGACCACACCTGTAGTCCGATTTTGATGAAATTTGGTATGTAGGTACTAATCTATGGTATCTGCAGGCGTTTTATTCATTTTTTTGAAATTTTGATTTTTAATGTTGATTTTCCCATAAAACCCCATAAAATAACGGAAAAATCGGATTTCTCAAAAATGGCCTGAACGATTTTGTTAAAAATTTAGTATGTTATAGCCCTTTAAATTCTGAACAAAATGGTAGGACTCCCATTTCTGTAAACATTATGGTTCAAAAGTTATTGTAAATTATGTTATTTTCCCATAAAAAACCCCCAAAAAAAGATAAAATCATATTTTTGAAAGAAACTAGTTTAGATTGAAATTAGTATGTGATAATACTTATAATTCCAAACAACATAGTGCAACCCCCCCATTGCTATAAAGATTATGGTTCAAAAGTTATTGTAACTTATTTTATTTTCCAATAAAAACCCATTTAAAAAACGGAAAAATGGATTTTTTTGAAAATAAAACGATTCTGATTGAAATCCTTCTGTTATGGTCCTTAAATAATTCTAAACAAAATAGTGCATCTCTTCATTCTTGTTAAAATTACTGTTTATGATAAAGGTTGTTGACAAGCTAATGGGAGAAAGTATGTGTCAGATTGTTGATATGGTTTATTTTATATGTTTTAAACTAAAAATAATCAGTAAACTATGGGCTTGAATTTGAGCTATTAGCTATTAAAATCGGACAAGATTCTTTCTGTGAGCCTCCAAACAACAAAAATAAAAAATTTTAAAATATTATAGGTTTTGTTTTTAATCAACGATCCATAACTCCAGTTCTATTCCAGTTAGTATATAACATTTGGTATCAAATTGTTTATTAAATTAGCAGCTTTCATTTGAGGCAATGATCATTTAAATCTGACACGTCAACATGTATAATTTAAACTCCGAAGTCAATGCACGAGTCAGTCTCCGGCGCCCCGTGGTACCCCACTTGTGGTGGGGGTAGCCTATTGAGCGCCGGCTCGTTTTCAGCACTGTACTCTCGTTGCAGGGCGCGATCCAGTTAGGTTATATACATCGATGGTTTGTACCAAATTTCATTAAAATCAGAGGATTTTGCCCCAGTTAACTTGCTAAAGGACACACATATATAAAAATATATATCTACTAGCACCCATTGTCACTTCATGATTACAAAATCCGTATACCCCATTTTACTAATTGCTAAAGATTAATTAGGTGTTCCTGTGCCAAGCAAGGGGCCCATGTTAAGTTTTAGCCAAGGGCGCTCCTGACTAATTTCATGATATTTACTGATTTTCTTGTTTCAGTTTGGAAATTATCGATATGAGGATGTAGAACGAGCCAAAGTTACATGTGGTGCTCTTCCTGGGATCGAATGCCATGGGCCTAGGTCATTTCTCAAAGAAGGATTTCCCTGTGTAAAGTATGTACATTTGGCTAGAAAAACCTAACACGACTCTTTACCTAGTCCAACCATACTCAAATTAATTGTTATCCTTTTAAAATAAAAATAGGCCATCGTCTATGATATTGGGTTATTTCCTGAAAATATTTTAGTTCAATCAGTCTAGTCAAGGCCCCACTAGAAAAACAGGCCATGCTGCAGCACTGGAGCACAACACTACGTCACAGTGGTGGATAGTTGTACTAAAGTTGCCAGACGTAAACAGCCAGCTTATTTACCTAAAACATATGGGATATTGCAGTGAATCTATCCCAGTGTGATGTTATGGATCCTGCAGCATGGCCTGCTTTCTCGTGGGGTCTTGGTCTAGTACTTTTCACGTGATAACAGACTAACACACAAACAACCAACAATTCTTATTGATAAGATTAGTAAGATGGAGTCCACTGTTTTACCCCGCACTGACTTTTGTATACAGTAAACAAGTTACTAAATTTTATCTGTTAAATATGTAAGAAATTAGTAAATTCAGAATAAAGCAGAATCATAAAGTCTATTTTAATACAAAACCTAAACAAAACAATCAATTGTAAATAAAGTGTTTTTAACATGTGATTTCATACATTAAGCAATATTAATTATAAACATATGATGTTGGACAGTAATATCTATCAATCCTCCCCCTTTAATCGGCAAGGTAGCATCTGGTTGACATGTCTTCTCCAGTTGCAGCCGTCATCCATTCCCAAAACATACATCACTTTTCCTTCTTTAGCTGTTACTCTTCCAAAACTCCACTTTTTCCCTTTTTGGTTGTAGCATAAAGCTTGAACCCTTTCTCCAATGTTAAAATTGCGACATCTTTTATTTGAAGTTTCATTCTCATTTGCTGTTTCTAGTTTGTTTGTTTCCAGCATGAAGTCAAGACGAGTTCTTATATTTCGACCGAACATAAGGGAGTACGCATCTTTACCCGTTGAGTTTACAGACTTTCTTAGTTGCGTTAGAAACATTGGTAGTTTTGTACTTATGTCTCCTCCCTCACTTTTCATTGCACTTAAGCCCTTCTTTATTGTCTGAACAAATCTTTCTGCTTGCCCATTTGACGAAGGGTTAAATGGAGCACATGTCTTGTGGATGACCCTGTTTATCTTTAAGAAACTTTTGAATGTAAATGATGTGAATTGTGGTCCATTGTCAGATACTAGTACGGGAGGAATACCAAAAGTCGAAAACAAATTCCGAAGTGTCTTTATGCACCATTCCGAGGTTGTTATCTTTGTTGGAATAACTTCAACCCATTTAGAAAATGAATCAACAATAATGAAAAAGTATTGATTTCCAGCATATGGTCCAGCAAAATCTATGTGAATTCTCTGCCATGGCTGTTCAGCACTTTCCCAAGGGTGTAGAGTCACTAAGCTTGGTCGATTCTGTTTTTGACAACACTCTTTGCATGTTTTTGCCAAATTCTCTATGTCGTTATCTATGCCCTTCCAGTAACAATAACTTCTAGCTAACCCCTTCATCTTTACAATGCCTAAATGTCCAATGTGAAGTTCCTGTAGGACTTTACTCTGCAAACTAGTTGGAATAACTATTCTGTTTCCTTTAAACAAGCAATCATTCTGTAGAGTAAATTCATGATCATGTAAACCAATTCTTTTGATACTCTTTCCTTCTTTAAGTAATTTAATAATTTCTTTTGTAGTGCTGTCATTGTAAGATTCTCTTGCAATCTCTTCTTTAGTGACTGGCATTGTTTCCAACTGACTTAATTGAAACACAGCATTATCATCCATGAAATCATCAGGTGTGTTCTCAACTGGAAATCGGGAAAGAAAATCAGCATTCGAATGGTCTTGTGTTCTGCGAAATTCAACAGTGTAGTTAAACCCTGAAAGGAAGTGTGCGTAGTTAAATATCCTTGTAGCTGTCATTGTCGGTAAAGTTCTATGTGGATCGAAAATAGATACTAAAGGCTTGTGATCTGTAATCAGTAGAAACTTACGACCATAACAGTAAGAGAAGAATCTTTTCAATCCCCAGTATATTGCAGTTGCTTCCTTATCTATTTGGCTGTATTTTTGTTCACTCCTTGTCAATGTTCGGGAGGCAAAAGCTATTGGTCTTTCACTGCCATCTTTCATTCTATGTGATAGGACAGCCCCTAGTCCTACTGGAGAAGCATCTGTAGCAAGAACCAACGGTAGCGAAGGATCAAAATGAGCTAATGTCCGTTCATTTGCAATTTCTTCTTTCACTTTCTTGAAGCTTTGTTCACAAGCTGATGTCCACTTAAATGGTTTGTTCTTCTTTAGCAAATTGTTCAAAGGATAAACTATATCAGAGAAGCATGAAATAAACTTACTGTAGTAAGTCACCAAACCCAGGAATGATCGTATTTCATTGATGTTCGAAGGTCGTTTTGCATTAGTTATTGCTTCAACTTTTTCAGTACTCTTGTGTAAACCATTGTTATCAATCACGTGTCCCAAATATTTTATGCTCTTCTGGAAGAATTTGCATTTCTCTCTGTTCAATCGTAGATTCTTGCTACGTAACACATTCAGTACTTGTTTTAATCTTTGTAAAGTTTCATCAAACGTAGATCCTTGTACGAGTATGTCGTCAAAGAAACACTGTACTCCATCCAGACCTTGTAATGTTGAGTTCATGAATCTTTGCCAGAGAGATGGAGCGACCTTCACTCCAAACATAAGGCGATTTACCTTAAAAAGTCCTTTGTGTGTGCTTAAGGTTTGCATTTTAGCACTTTCATCGTCCATTACCATATGTAAGTACGCATTACTTATGTCAAGTGTACAAAAGTACTTCCCTCCACTCATGTTTGAGAAAATGTCTTCTATTCTTGGTATGGGATAGTTTACCTCTTCAATTACTTTATTGAGTGTAACCTTGTAGTCGGCACATAATCTCACATTGCCATTTGGTTTTATTACTGGAACCACAGGGGTTCCCCAAGCAGAGTTTTCTACCTTAGTAATGATGTGTTCACGTTCCAATCGTTCAATCTCCCTCTCGACCTTACCTTTTATTGCGTACGGTACTTGTCTAGGCTTTATGTAAATAGGTGTAGTGTTTTCCATCACCTGAAATCTAGCTTTGAAGTCAGGAATCTCTCCAATCTCTGTCTTGAAAATATCTTCATATTCTTCAAGTAAGGATGTCAGCTGAGATCCATTTGTTTCTTCAACTGCCCTCATGTCTGCCCAATCAAGTTTCACCTCTCTCATCCACTCACGTCCAAATATAGCATCAACTTGGTGATCTATTACGTATAGCTTTCCAATGAATCTTTGTCCCTTGTAGTTGCATTTCACAAAAGCTACGCCACACGGTTTTATTATTTCTCCTGTGTATGTGCGTAGTTCAACTGCAGTTGATAGAAGCTTTTTGTTCGGAAAATTGTGTTGAAAGTCTTTTAGGGAAATGGAGCTCAATGATGCGCCTGTGTCTAATTCGAATAACATCTCCTTGCCATCCACTGATAATTTTGCATTGAATTTACCTCTGTCTTTTGAATTTGAAAGTAAATGTATGTTATGTAAGTCGTTTCCATCCTCTTCTTCAAAAGCTTCTTCTTCAGCATAGTGAACTGATTTTTGTAACTTACCTTTACTCATGCATACACGAGCAATATGACCAGTTTTATTGCAAGAATGACATGTTTCTTCTTTGAATTTACATTTATTAGCCGTATGTGATTCATTACCACAACGATAACACTTTCCTCTCAAAGAATCAAAACTCAAGGTAGTTTTATCAAGTTTCGCAGTAGATTTCATGGAATACCTTGTATTTCTTACATCTTTATTTTTTGGTACTGGTACTTGCTGACTTTTGTATTTGACTTGATTCACATGTCTAGCAAAATGTTGCTCAGTAATCATTGCACTTTCTGTTTTTGATAGCTCTATTCCGGTTGCTGTCCTAACTAACTCAGGAAATGTTCTCAATTCACGTTCTTGTAAGAGTCTTGTTCTTATTTCTGGGTCATTTAGTCCTCTGACAAACTGTAATCGCAAAAATATATCACAAACAGACTTTCCACATGCACAGTTGAACTCACAGTTTGTAGATAACCTTTTAAGGTCTGTTGAAAAATCTGTTACTGATTCTCCATTCTGTTGTTCTCTAAGTACAAATTTGTGTTGTAACGCTAGTGTACTTGCTTGAGGATCTAAGTACTGTTGTAATAAATGTACTAGTTCTTCGTATGTTTTGTTACTTGGATCATCTGGTGAGCAAATGTCGTATAGCTTTTGATGAATTAATGGTGTGAGAGCATGTAAGAATGTCAATGTTTTCTGATTTTGGTCCTTTATACATTTTAGTTCCATAAAAGTATCCAAACGTTTTGTAAAATTTCGGAAACTTTCCCTTTCATCGTATGGCACAAAGTTTAGATTTGAGGTTGTCACATTTGTTGTAGCAGCATGCTGAATCTGATCATTTGAACAATCGGCACCTGATGTATCAATTAGGTTTTGTAACATTACCTTGGTATCAATTGTGGTATTTTCAAATTCTTGTCTGTAAGCGAGTTCATCTTCAATATCATCTTCATTAATCATTAATTCAATGTGGTCCTGTATTATACCAAATTTCGTGTGCAATTCATTTAAATGATGTAGTCTAACTGAAGCATCTGTAGACACTTTGTGCTCTTTCAAAAGTTTTGTGATATTTGTAAGCTGAGCTTTCAAGGATCTTCTGAGGTTTTTGTACTTGATTATCCTCTCATTCTTCTCTTTTATTTGTTCAATTGTTTCTATAATCCTCGTCGCCATTGTTAAATATGTAAGAAATTAGTAAATTCAGAATAAAGCAGAATCATAAAGTCTATTTTAATACAAAACCTAAACAAAACAATCAATTGTAAATAAAGTGTTTTTAACATGTGATTTCATACATTAAGCAATATTAATTATAAACATATGATGTTGGACAGTAATATCCATCATTATCCATCCTTTTTTACCTGTGAATAATCATATAAAATTTCCATGCTTTTACAGGTACAAGGGACACTACTTTGTCACCACCCTTATGTACAGCATTTTACTTGGGTTTCTGGGGATGGACAGGTAAGCGTAGATATGTTCTGCATGTGGGTTTACTGTACTTGTTTTTTAAGAAAGATCAAAGCCCCTAATTTTAATACATATTATCATAGAAAAAATAATTTGGAATACATTTTATTAGACATTCTACATTAAAGAAGGAGAAATGTATACACAAATAAATTATGCAAGAAAAGAGTAACAGCACATCAAAAAGTTAGCCACCCAATTAATTTGATACTAGTAAACACGTTAATCGAAGTCGAGCAATTGCAAAGATGTAAAGTAGTTATTTAAAAACAAATAAAAGTCATCATAATTTCCGACGAGTTTAAAAGACTCAACTCATAGATTACGTACCTAACAGTTCCATATAATCAACATTTCTTGTAAATATTTTATCATTTTTTAAAAGCTGATCTGGTTTTTTTATGTTTCCCACTTATAGCTGTATTAGGTTGTTTGTGTTGATATTCGTCAATGATAATGTAGTCTGCATGGTACCACCCATTGTCGCCAGTACGTTTACAAATTTCAGTAAATTTTTTATATTGATAACATTTTGTTTACACGACTAAGAAATACCTGATTTTCTGCATAACCTCTCTGTCGCAATTTTATTTGAATCAATTGGCATTAATTTGGCTAGTTACTGTTATAGGAATCGTAAATTATATTTACCTGAAAAAATGCAGAATTGAAAGGGACTGCAGAAGGGATTGAATGCAGAACCCGGGACCTCAGGGACTTCAGTCCCTGAGGTCCCGGGTTTGATCCCCACAAAGTCACCAATGGATTTTATCTAAGTGATAATGCCGCAACCCCTAGGTCAATTCTGAAGTAATGTGAAAAACAATCCCAGGCTCATGCCTAGACAATAGACAAGACAATTGGTTTTTTGTTTCACTTAAATGGGAATAATGCGAATCCTTCAATGAAAGTTTTATTAAGGTTTCTTGGATGTAGTCACATTCTTTTAAAATCACTTGACTTTTATGAAAACATATATTTAATGATTAATGTCCTTGCCGTACTAGTTTAATTCAGACTTAGAGGGGTTTCCTGTTTCCTTTGCCAATCATCATAAAGTTAAGTCGTTGTTTCCTACAAAATAGTAGTTTTCGGCTAACATCCTTGTTCATTGTTCATAGGTTGATAACGATAGTATTTTTTTTTTTCATCTCTATTTCTTCTATTTGGTGGCGTTCTATGACTTTGCTATGTTTCCATTGTTAACAAATCGGTTCTTTCAATGATTTCTCAAAAAATACAGTACTACTAAGTCAATTCATTTTTCTTATTTTGTAAAATATATCAAATTGTCCAGGCTTTCTCGATTTTTACTTTCTCCCCCTATACCATAGTACCTATATGGAGAAAGTATTGTTTTCGTCAAAATTTTCGAGTGAGTTTTGAGTGGATATATTCGTTTTCCCCTGGACCCAAAAAAGTGGTTTTCGAAGTGATGTCTGTGTGTGTGTGTGTCTGTGTGTCTGGATGTGTACAGAGCTAGGGACTACACCTGTGGTCCGATTTCGATGAAATTTGGTATGTAGGTCCTAATCCATGGTATCTCCGTAGGCGTATTTTTCATTTTTTTAAATTTTGATTTTTAATGGGGATTTTTCCATAAAAACCCACAAAAAACCGGAAAAATCTGATTTTCTCGAAAATGGCTAAACGATTTTGATAAAAATTTAGTATGTTGTAGCCCTTTAAATTCTGAACAAAACGGTACAAATCCCATTTCTGTAAAAATTACGGTTTAAAAGTTACGGTAAATTATGTTATTTCCCCATAAAATAAGGAAAAATAGGATTTTAGAAAAAATCTGGTTTTATTTTAACATAGTATGTTATGGTCCTTAAAAAAGTTTTGATAGTTTTTTTCATTAAACATTTTTTTATTAATGGGAATTTTCCCATTAAACCCCATAAAATAACGGAAAAATAGGATTTTTCCAAAACGGCCTGAACGATTTTGATAAAAATTTTGTATTTCATAGTCCTTTATATTCTGAACAAAACGGTACAAATCCCATTTCTGTAAAAATTATGGTTCAAAAGTTATTGTAAATTACTAGAGAACCTGTGCGGCCCAATGAGCCGCATAGTATGAAACATAACGCCGAAAACGTTATGCTTAAATTAGAGTAATTCTAGTTAGGTCTACATCTTAGAGTTGTTAAACACTTGTTAGAAACTATTTTTAAATATCTCTATTTGCGTCGTCAAGATTCACCTGCATTATTTCTGCTCTCAGTTTTAACTGATAGCTTCTAATGAATGCTAAACGATCTGCTTCAATTCAAGCTAACATGTTGAAACAAAGTTTTTCCAACATTGAGAATTGAAGAAAACTGTTGCCTAGACATCCCCCTAATCAAACGAATTTTCCCCGTAGAGAATCCTGAAAAGTGGGGTGATATCAACCATTTATTGTGCTTTATTTTTTACCCACAAACTCTGGGTTATCAAATGGAAAGCCATAATCTGCTTTGAATAGGCTAAAGCAGCAACACCATTGATAGTTTGTTAACGCATTTTAACGTGTTGTGTTAAAATATATGCCCCGCATCAGAACGTCCTCACGTTGTTCAGTGGGGTTTCTCTTAATACCTGTCCCAAAGTTTTGAAAGTATGGATTCATTTGTCGAAATTGTTTGGATAACTTTTGTAGCTATAAGATTTGGATAGCAATTTTCATTTTTTCTTTTTGAACAGCGTATATTTGTAACCTTTTTTTTTTTAAATAATATTTGTTAGGTTAATTGATCTAAGCCCAGGAAGGGGGGGGGGGGTTTGTTACTGAAAGCTTTTAAAGAGTCACAATGACAGAAAGGATCCTCTTCGGGAAGGCGCCACCTTGTTCACTGCAGAACGTCCACCGGCCAACAAGGAAGTCCAATGGCAGTACAGGGTTGAGATTAAAAGGTTTACCCTCGAGGACCACTTAGCTTATCATTCAGACTCACTTACTCATTTACTTACACCTAGACACTTTAATGAGTTAATATCGCTAATTGTTTTGCATGAGCGTGAAAAATAAGATTAATTTGTAAGGGAGCGACTAAAGTTTGATTTTAACCACAGTAGGAAATATTAATATAGTGAAAACACAACAATTAAATTTGAATTACAATAGTTTAATAAGAAAATTAAAAGTTAAGAAGATTACAAATCTCCAAAGCAAGATATTGAAACAAAAGTTAACGATAGTCGAACAGATTTCATATCATAATTATGGGATAACAATAACTCAACGCTCAAAAAGGGCCTCATGAATAGCATTCTTATACCACAACGATACATAGCAGTCAAGACACTCTGTCTGTGGTAAGTTAATATTTCACAATTATAACAGGCTATGAAAGTTTATCTTCACTAAGTAGTTAACACCAAATGTCAATACGGGTACTTGGTACCAACCTAACCTAACTTTTAACAGTTCACTTGATGACACGTTTTAGTCTCTGTTTCGTGTAAGCTAACAAAAGGAATGTTTGAATCTTAAGAGTTCACCTCATTCGATGACTGTTCATATAACAATTATTTACTTCAACAACAGGTTTAAAATATCACAGCAAAAGTTCAGTCTTTTGATATCACAAGTATTAAGGCACTAGAGTTTTGAACAATACGATTGTCTGTCTGAATGGCCTAAACTAACCTATCAAACTTGTTCTCAAGTCTTTGGTCCATAGTACATAATTATGCATAGCACCACACAATACATTACATACATTATATAAGATTCGTTAACAAATTAAATCCTAACATTTGACAATGTTATACTTACAACATAGACCCAGCTCATATAACCTAGAAACTAAACATTTTACACATAGTCTTTAAACACTTTGAAAGATAACACAGAATAATCCATAGGCCCTACATTTTAACCTTTTCAGTGACTTTGTAGGCTACTTTGCCAATTTTAAGATAACTGAACTTAGGCCTAGCCAAGTTAAAGTCAAAAGGTTCGTTAAGCATCTTTAGCCTAGGCTTTAAGGCAAAATTACAAAATAGGCTAGTAACAGAATCAAATCTCAGAGTGAACGGGAAAGCCGTACTATCAGAACACATTTAAAAACAGACATTACCAAATTTAAGTATAGACTTTAATAACAAACAATTCGAGAACAAATTTAATTTACTAACCTAAAGAGCTGGACCCAAAATGAGTCTGAATGACTGAGGTGGATTTTCGTAAGACAATGTGGGACATAGTATTAGCCCATCTCAAGAAAACCCTAAATAACAAAATGTTACTACATAATCCCCCAAAATATGTAATAGAACGAAACCTTACCTCGAGGGTGATTCATTTTAAGTAAATTTAGTTGAATTTAGATGACATCTCATTCTTGATTAACAAAAAAAAATCAACTTCTAATTTTTTTGTCTTCGTCACAAAATCATGGCTAGTGGAGAAGAGGGAGGAAGCGTCGGTTTCAGTCCACAGATCCGTCGAGTTTCATTATTGAGTCCAAACCACCAATCAGAGGTCTACAACTTTATCGATTGAGTGAAGATGGGATGTAGCAATCGTTGGAGCTAAGAGTATGAAGTGGTAGAGGCGTACTATATAAAATATTTTATAGTGACGAAATGAAATTCAGAATGCGGTCAGGCAGTCGATGCGCGCTTAAAGACTGAGATGAAATATTTAGCGGATGGTCAGTCCGCTAGTCTGTATGTAGGTCTGTTGATGGGCCTTCTCCAGACGTCTCTTTACATCCTCATAGATTTGTTTGAGTTTAAATATCTTCTCAGCTTAGGTTCCAGTGGCAACTCAGAAAGTAGTTTGGAGTCCTCACACCCTGTTACTGACAACTCACGTCCAAAATTTAAGAAAGCTGGTGTGTAACCTGTGGTTTCATGCTTAGCTGTACGAAGAGCAAAACCTAAAGCAGGAATATTCTTATCCCATTCTCGGTGATTATCCTTCATGTAGGCTCTGATCATCGTAATGATGGTTCTGTTAGCTCTCTCTGTTGGATTTGTCTGTGGGTGCCTACTGGG